GTCGCATTATACATGAGATCTACTATACACGAAAAAATACGGTACTTTTTGGGCTAAGTATAATACTTTTACTATATAACACTAACAATGCTAAGATGCTAAAACCAGTAAAGGTACACAGTTCCAGAAAATGACTGCAGAAAGACTTCAGAGTGTAAACATCACAAAGCTGAGCAGGTGTTGTTTATTTTTTCTTCRTGAACTAGTGAAAGTGTTAAGACCCTTTGCCCTCTCATTAATCTCCATTGCACCGTGTCACAGCTCAAAAAGGAAGGCGAGATTACTCCCATCCCAGCCTCAGACTCTCATTTAGCCACATACTGCAGCCCATTATTCAGCCATCATGGAAAAGCCACAAAACAAATGGTATTTACCTCGAGGGCAGTATTAGCTCAGGGTGGTGGGAGTATTAGCTCAGGGTGGTGGGACGGGAGTGGTGGGGTGGGGTGAAGGGTACAAACACGAGTCTGAAGCTCATCATGAAGCTGCAGAGCCCAGACTTCCTCTGCAAAGTGCCCGGCTGTCATCTGTCACCCGAGTACAAGACAAACGTCTGAAATGAGCTGGAGAAGGATTTGACACAGATGTCTGACTTCACCGAGTAATCCTTCACCACACTCTGAAAACGCCACCACGGGATGAACTTGATTGCCATGGCAACAAACCGAGGGGGGGAAAAAATAATAATAATCCTGCAGAATCTGAGAGCCCGGGTAATTGGGTTTGATTTTGATTATAGTTATAAATTGCAGCCGTGCCTCCAGAGCGACTGATGTATAAATAAGGGCGCTGCAGAATRAGTTGCCCGCGTGAAGACGACCCGGCTGCAGACTATCAGAGTCCACAATCAGAAAGAGCTTACTGCTGGGTTTAACCTGCAAGCTCCTTACACGGCTGAACCACGGATTAGCCTTAAAAGTAACCATGATTAAATCTGTCCGGCAGCGGTGTCTATCATTTGTCTCGCTTTTCTTTTTTTTCCCGTCAGATAAGTTAACATCTGGACAGCCATCGTTTAAAGTGACGTCACACATTTCCAGTTTTGGAAAGTGAAATGAAGGTGAAAATGGTGGAAAGATACACATTTAAAGGCAAAGCAATGTGCAACAGTAAGCTGGCCTGTGCAGGCATGACGAATGAATGTCGAACAACTCTGCTTTGTGATTAGGTTTAGATAAAAGAGGCCACTCAAAGGCAGGATCAGAGTTTCTCCAGGATTAGACCTAAAAAAAAAAACAATAAACCCACTCACCCAGCAAGGGACCTGTTTCCATTTAACCCWCCCATCATTCCTTTCATGCTACTTTTGTGTTCTGTCAAAAACGATCGCGCCTGAAATATCTCATTATAAATTCATAATATATCATCATTTAAACCTGTTTGAACAGTAAAATGTAGGTCTGCTGATCTCTGCTCATACCACTTGTGTTTAAATAAAAAAAATTATAGAATTATTCTGAGTCATTTTGTCTCAAACAAGTCAACGGAAGAAAGTTTTATACATCCAATATCACAAATTCATTTTTGTTTCWAATTTGATTGAAATTATGAAAATGGATTTATTAATTTTAGAGGATTTCTGTAAAAAGTTGTGAATCTCATTTCAAACATCCAAGAAAACAGCTTTCTCATAGAATAAAAAACAACTTATAAAACAATCAAATTTATCTGAAACACAACAAGGAGGTATCTTTGACAAAATCTCTTGTTTCTTATTAATAAATTGCAAACTTCATGCAAGTAAATAAAACAGCTGATAAACAAGCAGTGGCTAACTGTGATTAATCAGCATTAAAGTTGGGATTTATATTTTTTTAAACGCACAACTCACCATGAGAGACATTAGTTGTGCAAAATTCTGAATTCACTTTTATTATTTTCCATGCTGTTCAGAAGCAGAATTCAAAAAATGAGGATGAGTTGAGACTTTTGCACATTTTTTGTTAATAATTGATGAGGAAGAGTGTGCAGGCAGCATGTGGAAGCAGTAAACAAACCCAAACTAGCTGATGTAACCCAGGACTTGGTAAAATCAGGGAGCTAACACCTGCTGAGATGGGTGATTAGGAAGTGAGAACAGGTGAGAAATGATGGCGGCTGACAGGTGTGTAACGAGGCAGCAGCATCGTGTCAGATTAAACACGTGACAAAATCTCTGATGGCTCAGAGCAGAAAACACGGGAAGAATTTTATTATGCAAAGATCAAATGAAATAGGATAAAAACACAAATCAAACACAAAATGTGACAAACGCTGAGGGTTGTGGGACTTTAACAGTTCAGTTGCTCAGTGTAAACATCCATTTCAAATTYTCTTTGACGAACTSAAGGCCCGCAGGCCAAACTTGGCCCTCATTAACATTTTATCTGGCCCCACAGGTAATATTTCAAATGTTAAGTAGTTTTGTGGTTTCTCTTTTTTCACTGTATTTACTGCTGTTGTTTCTTGTCAACTTTGATTCTGTATTTTCTTTTTGTTTTAAAATCATCTAATTTGATTTTTAGTCAGGCTTTTCTTTCTCTTACTGATTTGCAGGATAAAACATTTCTCTAAGATAAAATAAATGTTGTTAACTTATGGCAGAATGAAACTGACATAATTAGAAACAAAGCAGAAATATATAAATGGAATAATAAATAAATAAAAACACAGCACAGGTGTGTCTATATGTGAAGAACATACCCATATGCACATGCGCACAAAAGCTTATACATATATACATACATACACACATAAATATACATATGTATACAAATGTATAACCATACATATCCATTTCCATCTGCACACACATGTTAAATTAAAAAAGGAAAACTTTACCTCTTGTTTTATAGTTTAATTAACCTTCATATTT